TTTAGGATGCCCCATTTACATGTGGCGGTAAGCTCCTGCCAGGCTGCCAGACTGCCTGAAAAATCACACAGGAAAGGCTGGCAGTTTCCAGAGCTGGAGGCCATGTTTCTGTGATGGCTGCTTCAAAAGATGAGTCAGGAAGATGCCAGGAAGACACCCTGCTGAAAAAGGAGTCTCTGCATTTGAATCCGAGCCCATGGGCTTTCCGGACATGAAGAGACTACTACTTTACACAGCAGGAGTCCCCAACACCCGGGGACTCATTCACACAGGGTCAGCACGCTGCAGCTAAGCTGTACCTCAGCCCTTCCTTTATTTTTAATGGATTTTTCACAGTAGTCTTTAAACCAAACAGAAACAAATACCTACCATGGAGGGGAGCCTGGCTTTGGGGGCCTGTCACCTGCATAGTGGGGGATGGAGGCCTCCAAACAGGTTCCCTGAGCCCAGAGATCTCACACCATTGGATCCAAAGAGATAACCCATGTGCTGTGCACAACTAGAGGCTGAGTGTGGTGAGGGAGACCATTCAGGAGCAAGCCTGACTGAGCCAAGCTCAAATGTCCCCCAGAGAGTCCACTGAATGCCCAGTACCAGCAAACACCACATGGTGACCCACTCGAAATGGTTCTCCTGTCACAGCCTCCTGCAGTCAGAGAAAACACTTTAGGGGGAACAAAGGAAGGAATGTGTATTTTAAAAAACAGGATTCAATAGCAATGTGAATCCTGAGGATTATGAAAGATTCCCTTTGCGGGGGAATTCCATAGGATGTCACGTAATAGAGGAAGGGCCAGTGTGGTCAGACCAGACATGGTCACCTCATATCACAGGACAGGGAGGACAAAGTAGCTGGGGTGTCTCTGTCCCTCTCATACTTACTGGCCTCTGACAGCCAGAATCACTATCTGAGCCTCCCACTTGCAGTCCACCAGGGCCCAATGTCCTGTCCGGTTGATTCACAACATGCTTCTAGTTGCAGCAGCTGCCCTGGTTCTGGGTTGCTAGCTTGTCTTTACTCTTCATTCCAGACCATTTTTTTCTGCTTCCTCAACACAAAACAGCACAAGCTATAATTAGTTCTCACCCCAGTGATTTCACCATAGAATCCCCAGCATGAGTTTATGGCTGCTCCTTAGCCTCCTCCTTAGATAGCATCCTCTAGCAACTTGCAAGATGAAGGAAGATACTCAGAGGAGAGCAAGGCTTCCCATTTTCAGAAGCCAGAGTCTTCTCTTCCTCGATCCTCTAGAGGAGCAGCTGGGGATGACCATGGGTACCTCCCCCACTGACCCCCCCCCCACTGCAATCCCAGCAGAAGTGACCAGATCAAGGGCCCTGAGGTCAAAACTATCAGCTCTAGGTGTGGCTTCTCTGAGACGGGTGTTCTTTGGGAAGTTACTGGGCCTCTCTGGGCCCTTTTCTCCTTCTGAAGGTAAGCTGATAAAACTGTAGTACCTTAGAGGGCCCCTGCCTCACCTCAGGGTTCTGAGTATCCGAGGCTGATCTATGTGGACAGCTTAACCTTGAACACAGCACCCGGCAAACTCTAGTTAGTGTGTGTTAACTGGGTGGGACTCTTGCCACCTGTGAAATGCAGCCTGTTACAGAGGCCTCTCTGAGATGGTTTGGCCACACATAAAAAGAGTAAGGGTATAGCTGCATTAGCTTTAAGTGAGCCTCTACAGGTTGACTGGGGCCATATGTGGAATGGGGGCTTAGTTGGTGGAGTGCTTGCCTAGCACGTGTACAGTCCAAGCTTGGATGCCAAGAACCACTTCAAACTGGGTCTGGTGGTACATGCCTATAATCCCAGCAGAACAGGTAGAAGCAAGAAGATCAGAAGTTGAAGGCCACCTTCAACTACAAAGCAAATTCAAGGCCAGCCCGGGCTATATGAAAACCTGTATCACTCCTTTTCCCCACATGCAATAAGAGCTTTGAATCACTGAGTTCTGCAATGTCCATAGGCCTGGATGACACACCCCAGACTCCAGGATGCCCACTGTACTCAGTGATAAGTATGGGATTGGACAGAGCATAGCAAGACATGGAATGTGCCAGATCCACATGGAACCCTGGCCTTGGCCAAGGCTGTAGGCTATGAGGCTCCTGGTCCCTGGCAGATCTCCACAGGGCACAGGGATCATGCCCCTCTCACCAAGGGACCAGCTCCTTCCCCTACACAACTACCCTCAGACCCAGTCCATACACAGTGATGGGGAATAGCTCATTAGACACACACACACACACACACACACACACACACACTAGTGATGGGGAATAGCTCATTAGACACACACAGACACACACACACACACACACACACACACACACACACACACACACACAAACACACATAGACACAAAGACACACAGAAACACATATACACAGTCACATACACATAGAGGCCATGGTGCACATGCATACACAAACACACAGAAACACATATATAGGCATACACAGGGGTCATGGCACATGTGTGCACACACACAGACATACATATACACAGAAACACATATAAACAATCACACACATAGGCCATGGTGCATGCACAAACACAGATAGGTGCCATGGTGCACACACACACACACACACACACACACACACACACACACATAGAAAAACACATATGCACAGTCTCACACATACACATACACACAGAGGCCATGATGCACACATACATACAGATACATACACAGGCACACAAGCACACACAGAAATACATATACACAGTCACACACACTGTGCATTCACACATACACAGACATACACACAGATATATACACAGACACACACAAAGACACAGAAATATATATATACACAGATACACATACAGGTCATGGCATACACACACACACACACACACACACACACACGCTCACAGAGTGAGGGAGAACAGGCCCAAGCCCAAGCAGAATTTGTCTTCTAAGTCCCTAAACCACCAAATGCCACTCTAGCAAGTTGCTTTTCTCAGAAACACAAAGTAAAATTACAGTCAGGCCAGCTTGACAAGGGCCATAATCAAGACCCAGTAGACAGGGGTCCTAGATCAGTGGAAGGTTATCTCTTAACTCCTTCCCTGGGATGTGGCACACCCATGGGAGAGGCTGCCTGCTCCCCAGAACCGCCCAGCAAGGGCCCCAGTTCCCCAGATTTGCCCCCTGCCGGGCAGGAGACAAGGAAGCTCATGGAGGCTGTTGGTCCCCTCTAACTGCCAACTGTCACCATTCTGTCCACACACCATGTATGTGTGTCATCTCTCCCCATTCATAGGCCCCTTCCTGCCCAAGGCCTCCAAACCACACCTCAGTCCCCGATGTTGATTAGCAACTTCACCACAATTTGCTATTCTGAGATTCTGCTGGGGTTTTTTTTTGTTGTTGTTTTGTTTTCTTGAGGTGGGTTTCTGCTATATTGGTAGGGCTGGCCTCCAACTCATGAGCTCAAGCCTCCCTCCTACCTCAGCCCCCCAAGAAGCTGGGACAGCAGATACACATCAGAGCTCAGGGCTCTGTTTTTTAATCACAGTGAAACCAAAGCAGCCTT